TACACGAGAAGGTTCACTGAAGTCCATGGGGAAAGCATCACTGAGGAAAAAATGTCATTGCCAATGTATGTGAGGTAGATTTCAGTGCCAAGAAAAAACATTAACAAAACAGCCTACCCAATTTTTAGCTATTTTAAAGTCTAAACAAGACCCAAGGCCAGCTGATTTTATGGTTGGGTCCACTCTCATGTCAAAGGAAGGAGGTGAGCCTAACTTTAGGAAGGAAGAAATGAAAATGTGGCCAAGGTCAAAGTGGTAACAAGCAAGTATGAAGACAGCAGCAAAGAAAATGGGAGTAGTGTAGAATGAATCATCATTAGCTAGCATATTAAAATGGGGGGGTGGGGTGGGAAGCAGAAGAAAGTTCTAAGAAGGAGGAAAACTTCAGAATGAAGCAAGAACAAGGGGTTCTCCAAATATAGTGAAGGACTGAAATTAATCCAGATCCTTGTACCTTTGGTTGCAGGAAAAAACGTGATACTTGTGTCTGTTGCTGTTGAGATGGCATGTGGGTGGTGAGAACGTGAGAATGGCTAGTGCAGGGGAAATTCCTTCTCAAGTTAGATGCTTTTCGGTTCAAAACAATCTGAAAATGACCTGGGTCCTGAGGAGGTTAGTCCTACATGCCATGTTCCACGTTAGCTGTTGGTATGGATCCTTTGTGTTGGAACTAGGAATCCAGTTCAATGAAATTGTCTCAGATAGATGTAACTTGGAAGCATAACCCTGGAGTCATTGCAAAGGGGCATAGGCTCTTGTTCTGCCTTCAGAAATTGCTTATGGTGCTACAGAGTCCTCTTCGTTGCCACTCTGCAATTCAACCTTTGTGACCACTGGAGTGTTGCCATTGCAGCATCCAGGGTCCTCCATACTTTTTCTCTTGACAGGACTTCAGAAAATTTCACCTTTTAGAAAATACTCGATGGCAAAGCCTTGGATCTCATGTTACTATAATTAATAAGCTGATGAATGCACTCAAGTGTTTGTGGGTAGGTTTGAAATTAATTCTAACAGTGTTCACATAAATCCAGTGGGAAGACACAGAAGACGAAGGAAAAAACAGAGATAAATACATATAGAAATCTTTTATGTTAAACTTTCTCTTGCTGCCTGCAATAAATTGGCATGTTCCTGGCAGGCATTACTGTCAGCACAACTTAGGGAAATAATATGGTGATGTTAGAATAATTGCAATTCACAGGTATAGGGAAGCAGGAGGTGGATTAAAGTTGTAGTTGGCCTAGTTTTAGTCCGGTAGTGTACCGGGTAGGTAAAATGCCAGGGGACTGGCAAATAGGAGGGCACTGTATTGTGAAGGGCCCCAGAATTTGGGGAAAAAAGTGAATGTGTGGTTCATTGAAGGTGGAAGAATGAGTGGGAAGGTTGGGAGGCTGACGGAGAGTGCTGAGGCATTTTGGTGAGGAGGGTCCCCTCAACAGCGGTGAGGCTGAGTGGGTGTCCCACAGGCCAAGGGATGGTCATGCTCTCAGGGATGAGCAAGCCCTGATGTTTCAGTGCCGAAGCAACCATCCGGCTGGCTGGGGGAGTTGTGCAATTGTGCTCTACGAGGTTTTTCTCTACAGGGTTTTTGCTACTCGCAACTGTTGGAAAGTGGACGAGGTGGAGCCTTGGGATCAGCTTGTAGGACAGTGCCTCTGGTTTTAAGGGAGTCCTGACTGACCCCAGCACTATGGACGCAGAGAGAGGGGCTGCTGCAGGGAAATGGATCCCTTACCAAGTTCATCCTTTTTTTAAAGCAATTTGATATGTTGGACTCTTTTACTCCCTTGGCTTCTTTCTGAAAGCTTCCACGTCGGCAGGAGGTAGGTGAGGCAAGCAGCAGTTGCCTCTGGAAATAATTGGGGTGCCCTAACCTTAGGTGCTCTGCTTTTCAGCTTTACTCTTTCACAGCTTGTTGTACTGGAGCATTTTATTTTTAAGGGAGCTACTACACTCTCCCTATCTACAGGAAACAGAATTTAAAAAAAAAAAAAAAAAAAAAAAAAGGAAGAATTTGGCCAGGAGCCAAGCCCAGTGACTGAAGTAAGAAGTAGGGAACTTGGAGTAAGTTTAGTTAGACATCGCATGGCAGAGCGGGTCTGCGGTGGATTTTAAGGGGCTCGGAGACGAGCAGGCGATGCCCATTTCAGAGCAGGAAGACGCTGTGCTTTCTTAGGTGCCCATCCTGGCACCGCCACTGCCGGCGAAGCTGTTGGACTTGGGAGGGGATAGAGCTGTGTGTAAATGAGAAGAGAGGAGTGCACCGGAGTGCTATGGAGGGCAGCAAGTTTGTTGCTGTGACTTTCACAAGCCTTCAAGGGTAAGAGTTAATGCTTTCCTTCCTCCTGTTTGTTTTCTCTGACAGTTTTGGGGGGCCGAAAAGTTGTGTTTTTTCCAGACCTGGGAGCTCTGCAAAGCTTAATCCAAGTGCTTGGGGTTGAGCTTTTTTTTTTCTGCAGGCAAGCTGATAGACTTCTGGGTGGAGTGAGCTGAGCTGTGCATGATTTCAAGCAGCAGCAGCAGCCGCCCGGGGAAGCTGCTATTGTTCGCCTTGTTTCGGAGGGAGCAGACCGCATTTCTGTTTGGGAGCTCTCCCTGCCTCAGCTGTTGATCGGTAACTTGAGTATTGCAACCAATTTACCCGAAGGAGCTGAATGCAAATTTTTGACTGCCATTCCGGTGTCAGTTTAAAGAGTGTTTTAATGAAGACAGATGGAGGATGTTGGATCATTACTTTAAAACGTGGCAGATAACAGACTGAGCCTGCTTCCCAGCACTTACAGCTAATTGCATTGGCACATTTGAGCGTAGGGGGTGGGAGCACACAGTTTTGTGAATTTCTGTATGTATAGCTTGGAACAGCACCAAAAAATAGCTGGAGGGCTGGCTCACCTCATCCAGGATACCTCTTCAGGTATTTTAAAAGCTGGGGAGGTTTCAGGGTTGCTTTGAAACTCTGTGTACTGAGCCAGTAGATTAAAACCAGAGTCACCACTCCTTTTGTAAACCCTAATGCCAAGGGTGACCATTCATAGCTGCTGCTTAAACTTATACCAGGTTGAATTCAGGCAAATCCAATTTCAGCCGCAGAAGTGTATTACTCCGGGATTAAAAACACACGTTTCAGTTGTCCGTCCTGCAGCTCGCTTTCTGTGTTTTCCACTTGCGAAGCGGGGAGTGGTACAACACATGCTACTCCCTGTTTTGCTCCTGAGGTGTTCAAATATAAGAGGATGTAAGGAGGGGTGGAGAAATACAAATGACAATGTATTTCAATGTTAAAAGATGATTAGTGCTAATTATTTCCAATGGCTGAAATTTTTTGTGCATGCTTTCGATAGGGGAAAACAAATACGTTGTACTCTTTGGAACCAAAATTGGAACAACTCGGCCGAAAAACACAAGGCGTTTAAAGGTGTCGCTTTGCAAACATGCCCTTGCGTGGCACATCACAAGGTCAGGCCATGCCAGATCTGCCAGGCCTTTACATTGCTTTTCCTGGGGCATCAGCAAACATCGCACCAGCTGTGATGCCCTTCTCTGCCGATACCCGGGGGTGAACGTGACTTTCCTGCTTTAGCGCCCGACGTTGCACAGCCCCTGAGCAGGCGTGCGACCAAGGCGTGGAGAAAACAAGGAGCCTGGGCACCTAATGTATTGTAAACCTTTCATATTTTCCCAGTTGTACCTCCAAACCCAGTCTAAAGCGATACGTATTCAAGATCTGGGGACTTAGATTTGGTTCATCTCGTGCTATTTAACAGCATTACCCCACCAAGAGCACCGGGCAGCAAACGCAGTCTTGAACCCTGTCTGTCACGGTGGGATCTGCTTTCTCATATACTGAGCTATCGGTTGGATATTTAGTACTTTAGCATGGGAAAAGAGAGAGTTCTAAGACCTGTGGGTATTTGTGATTGTTACATCAGCTGAATACAAAATAAAAAAATAAAAAAACCTTACAAATCTTGCTCACATGCAAAAACTGACCTGGCATGGGAAGTTGGGGAGTGAAGGCACGGCATGCTTTCTGAATTTTTACCTGGACAGGGCTATTTAAGCTTTTTAGGGTGTATACATACCACACTATGGTGGCAAAACTGACTGGACAAATCTTACTCTCCTGAGTAATTCCCCAGGACTCTGCATGCTTGTTTCTAGTATTACAGCACAATTCTCTGCCCCCTCAGATCTCCTAAAACCACTGCTTGGGCAGGAATTTCAGTCTGTACCAAACTACACCCCATGATCTGGATTAAAATAACTGTTCCAAAAATTATTGTATTTAACATGGATCATTTGACAGAGTCTGGGAACAAGGTGATGGGAGCAGAAGCACCAAGTATTTTGTAATCTCTATTTATCGTTGAACCTGACGTATCGTGTAGCTATGTCCAAAGAAACAGGGCCAAGAAACTAGCCGTGTTTTCCATCTGCAACATCTGCTCTCCATTCGTCCGAACCATGCCATGTCTTTTCTCATTTTGCTGCTCATCACTGTGGTGGTGGGAAGTGCCTCCCTCTACCTCCAGTTTGCAGCACAGCCCTCAGTGAGCCATGGTTTTGGATTAAGCTGTAGCCTTTCCAAATTCCATGTGCCATAGCTCATTGCAACCTGCCCCTCATGCGGGAGGAGCTTTGCAGTTGTGTCCTCAAGCCAAATTTGGCTCTTGTCTCTCTTAAATAAGGCTGAGCTTGGTTTGCGAGAAAGCACCCCTTCCCAATTCCAGACCAGCCAAGGTAGCGTCTCGCTCTGGATGTTAAAGTGCTCAGAGCGCATGATTACACTCTCAGTAGCCATAAAGCAGGTGGATTTTCTTTGCAGAAGTGTAAGCAGTAGCTGGACAGTTTGTAGAGCACTGTAGGTACAAAAGCCTTCACCGGTGAGAAGGGGTAATTTATTTGTAGCTTAAACCCTAAATCTCCATAAATGAGGAATTGGGAATTTGAGGTATAAATAATTTTTGCTATAGGATCTGGAAACATGGGGAAGTAACGTGTCGTATTAAGCAGAGTAGTTGGACCTGCATGATTACTGAAATACTGTGAGCCCCAGTTGATTACTGAACCATGCAGGGTACCTGAAGTAAGCAGAAATAAAAAAAAAAAAACAAACCACAAAATAATTTGAGTGGAAAATGGAGCTGGAGGGACTTTTTTTAAGTCCAGAAGGGCTGAGACAGACTGTGGAAGGCAACTTGAGGAGACTGAAGCAGTGCTTCACTTCAGACCTGAAAATAGCTGGTGCCAGGGAAAATGAAGGCAAAAAGGAAATTGCCTTTTTTTCTTACTATAGAAAGTTTTCATGTATTTTATGGGTTTTCAATTAATTCCAGAATAGGAATCTGTGAAAGTGTCTTAACAAAATTTGAGAAGTACTTCATGCCACATGAAAATGGAACATGAGAGAGACAATTTTTTTCCAGAAAGCACAAAGAGAAATTGAAACCATAGCAGTGTATTTGAGTGACAGGAGGCTGAAGACCCATTGCTGCAATTTTGTAAGGGAAACTGAATTGCAGACTTAAAAAAATAGAGAGATACATCAAGAAAACTGATCAAGGACATGAATTTTGATTACAAGTGGGATCTGGGGAAAAAAAATACTCTGAAGGAGATCATTGATTGGTGCAAAGATGTTGGACCCTGCAGGTAGGATTGAGAGTCCAAAATATGCCAAGAAAAAGACCCGGGAGTGCAAGGGAGGCAGCACTAAGGTCAGCCAAGGGACCACATCTGGCTGTAGAAGTTACACAAATGGACACAAATGGGAGCAGTATCAAGAGCACCACCAAAAGGGACAACTCCACCATCATTTGCTTAGGTTTGTTTTCACAGTTCCAGCTGATGGTCAATGAACTCTCAGACTGAAAACTGATGGCTGGAAGTGTGAAGGTGTCCTGGCACAAAGCGGGCTGTGAGCAGGCAGGCACACACAGAAGCTACAGCCAGCGTGAGAGTGGCTTGCTAGGTAAAGGAGTACGAGGATTAGGTGTGTGAGTCAATAGCAAAGCAAGCAAAGGAAGATATTTGTATTATTATGAAAATAAAGGGTACACCTCAGTGCAATAGGGGTGTGTCAAGCCCTTAATGCTATCGTGTGTGTGCCCATTGAATACTGACACATTCTCAAATGACACTGTGGTTTGGGCAAGCCAGGAACTGAGTTTGCGTGAAGGATCAGGTCAGCTTGGGAAGGATTCGTAACTCCTGGGCTTTAACTAAGTAAGCAGCTATGATAAATCTGTGTGATGGAAATGATGTACTGGAGAGGTAATTGGTACAAATGGACATGGCAAAGTTATCACCCCTGTCTGAGAAGGTTTTACGGGAATAGTGAGCCTGCAAGGATATTTGTGCTGGCCATGATGGTAACTTAGATTTGCTGCAGAGTGAAGATGTTCAATGAATGCAGTCCTAAATCAAACGCACTGAGAAGCTGAAGGAATTAAAGATGCCCTCCATGCCAAAATAGTGTATTGTTACAGTCTTGTTGTCATCCTGCAGTCATGCCAGAAACCAGTGATTAAAGAATCAGAGTAATTAGCAAAAGCCATGTGTCAGAGCTGAAGGAAGTTTCAGTTTTTTGTTTGTGAGGTGCAGATCTTAACTCCATTGTTTGTTTCATGTTACTGCTGCCGAGAAGGCTTATAACCACCCTCTCTTCTCTGCTCCCCCCCAAATATAAACATCCTTTTTTTCCCTCCGCTGAAATTACATGCCTTCTCAATTGAGTACACAGCTGGGGAAGGTTTAGTAGTTGCAGATTGTCTTTCTAAAATGTTTGGCAAATACAGCAAAATCCAGAGTTCAGCAGTATGGCCATATGGTGATTACAACCAGCTGATCTTTTGCATCCTCGTGTTGCCAGTGGATGCTGGTTATCAGATCTGTGGCTCCTGGTGCTCTACGAAACCGGAGGTCTTTACCCCTGGGTGTGTGGGTAGCGTGCCTCACTCCTCCTACCAGTTTATGGGGAGTTCTCAGTCCTAGTTATGAGGGTTTTGCAAGACATAATAGTAGTTCTAAAACATGGAAGAAATATGTTCAAAATGATAGACTGAGGTCAGTTAGGGATGGAAAGCAGGGTTGGTCAGCAGGGTTGAGAAAGCTTTAGGTTGTGACATTGAATATTGCAACTCTAAACCGTTTACCTCCATGGACAGAGGAAATTTTGGGGAGAGGTGTTGCCAAAGCATTTGTTGGTGAGCAGAAACAACTGGATCTACGTTAAGTGAATTGAAGAATGATCTCTTGCAACTGTGGTAGGCAGAGAGGTGCTCCTGAACGCCGTGACGAGCGGCAGGGAGCACTGTGCCAGGGCTGCGCCGTGCTCGGGGTGTGCAGTGCTTAGCTGGCTGGCTGGTGTTTACCTGCTGCTGTTTGCCTTATCTCAGGCTCATTGAATTGCAGCTGCTAAATATAGCTTTGCTTTAGCATCTGGAATAGAGATCTGCGCAGAAATGATTGACCTATGCAATGATTGTAGAGTTTCCTTAAAGTTTACCTTCATTTTCTGAAAAGACATGAAGCCCAAGCTCGCACTGGGCATGGTCTGGTGATGTATCAGGCTTGCGTTTGGGCAGTGGCGTAGGCTGTATTCGCCTTTGTGTGTTTCCAAAATACGATATATTTGCTATACTCACCTCCTTAGACACCCTTGCTCTGCACAGATAACATAGGATAAAGTGCAGAAACTTCATTCTGTCACCTAGAAAACTTGTTCTGGACAGATTACCGTTCCCTCAATTGTCTCAGCTTGGCTCCACTGACTGGTTAAGCAACCAGTACATCGTTCTTGCTGATTCAGGCTCCCTGTCAGCCAGGCATGCCAGGCAGTGCCGGCTTTTCCCATGCTCACGGATCTTCGCAGGCTGCCAGCACCAACATCACCATTAAGTCCTTTAACTCTCTGATTCTTGGATCACTGAGAGTTTCATTACTGCCAGTTTTTGATGTGATTTTGTTTCATGCTCAATTCCTCTGCCTATCAGGATATATTCAGTGCCTCAAGTGCTTTTCTGGTGCCTGGCTTTTGGCTTCTGGGCCAGGAAATTTGCAGCGAGCAGGGGAGAAGTTTTACTTGGAGCCATACAGGCTAGCCCACCCCAGACATGGAGGGTGACCAGCAGATGGACAACAGTGTGAGCCAGCACATGCTGAGCACGGGCAGATAGATGTACAGGAAACCAGCATTTCCCACTGCTTCCTCCTCTTCAGGGAGGCTGGGCTTATGCTGGCTGCTCACACAGTTCCTCTGTACCTTAAGTACAAGCCCTGTGCATGTATTTCTCCTTTTCTTATAGGGGGGAATGTCCTTTTCAGTCTCTCCTCCACTGGCCCCTTCTTCGAGCATGTCAGGGGATGAACAGGTCAAAATGTCTAAGGTAAGGTAGCCCACACTGATGCAGTGCAACTTGAAAACCTGAGATGGTTTTGCATTTAAAAATATGCTATGTGATAAACTGTAGCTGTTCGCCACGGTGCTTAGGAGTTTGGTTCTCCCATTTTACAGGCACAGAATTACACATATGTGCTGCATCGTGTCATGCTGCGGGACTAGAAACCCCCATTGTAAATTACTTTCTCTTTTCTTTTGCAGAATTTCCATGGAGTTGGACTGAAATAAAGTATTGGGATGTCTCTATTTGGATTAAAATTTGGAAAGCAGAAATTGAAAGGTGAGTGCAGTCTGGTAATGCCATTGCTGTGGGCGACAACCTAAGGAATGTAAATACAGCACACGTGCGAGCCCTTGAGAGCATGCTTGGGAGCATGTCCTACACCTGCAGAGCAGGCGGAGGAAGGCAAGCTTTCTTTACTTTTCCTGCATTTTGTACTACCTTGGGGGAGTGCTGTGGACTGTGCGCCTGTGAATGGGGGGGACACATCTGAAAGAGAACAGGCTGCAAAGTTTGTGCTCTGTCGTGGCACATGCCTGGCTTGGGGAAGTTGGGTTTTGGTGTCTTTTCTACAAGGATATTTGGGGGGAGTGGGTGGATGAGCAATGCACAGTGCCCTTTCTCAAGCAGTTTATAAAATACGCTGGAAGCAACTTAGCATGAAGGTCTGATGCAGTCTTTTGGTGATGAAATGTGCTAACAGCAATGGCCAGGGTATTCCTTTCAATGAGCTGTAGGAAGAAGAGCAAAATACAGAAGTACACCCTGAGAATACCGCAAAAGCTGCTGAGGGGAACACTGACTCTGCAGGAGAAACCAGAGCCTGCATAATTCCCTCCCTGTGGGCTCCCCGTGGCAGCCAAATAAATGGGTGTGGAGGTAGGGAGCAACCATCCTCTGCAGCACGATCTTCACCGGACTTTGCAGCAGAAATCCCTGCAGAGATGAATGCTTGGAAGAGGTCCAGCAGGAGGGCTACTAGTGTATCCTTCAAGTGGGCCAGCCTCCTACAGCCTCTTAGGGTGCGTCTTCATCAGGCTTCGCAGCAGGAGCCACTGCACCGAGTCTTGTGTTTTATCACTTCACCTCTGGGCCTGGGGTGCGATCTCTGGTCAAGGATCCAGGTCTGCAGACGTTGTGAAGAGGGAAAGTCTCTAGGCTTTCCTTTCCAGGGTGTTCTCCCCTGTATCACAGAATCACAGAATGGCAAGGGTTGGAAGGGACCTCAGGAGATCATCCAGCCCAACCCCCCTGCTAAAGCAGGGTCACCCAGAGCAGGTTGCACTGGATATCATCCAGGCAGGCTTTGAATATCTCCAGAGAAGGAGACTCCACAACCCCTCTGGGCAGCCTGTGCCAGTGCTCTGGCACCCTCAAAGTCAAGAAGTTCTTCCTCATATTCAACTGAAACTTCTTAGGCTTCAGTTTGTGCCCATTGCCCCTTGTCCTGTCGCTGGACACCACTGCAAAGAGTCCGGCTCCGTCCTCGTGACATCCACCCTTGAGATATTTGTACATGTTGATTAGATCCCCTCTCAGTCTTCTCTTCTTCAGGCTGAACAAGCCCAGCTCTCTCAGCCTTTCCTCATAAGGTATTTGATGAACAGCAGAGATTAGTGCCCTGCTTGCCTTTTGACATGAAGTTATTTTTTTTCCCCAACCTCTCTGAGCTCAGAAGAGATCTTTTTCCCAAGGGTTTATTTTTGCAGTTGTGCTGGAGTTTCCCTTTCCTGCTGTGGGGCAGACTGTGAGCTCTGGTGTTAAGACAGGGACATCCATTTGCTGCTCTGATAGTCCCAGGAGGGGAGGTTGTGACTGCTCACGGGGAAGGGTCTCTGCCAGCCCAAGGTCTCTTTCTCCCTCTTGGCTTTGGAGGTGAGGGAGCACAGGCTTGTCTGTGAGCCGCCATCCACCCAGGGCATCCCCCCTTGTAAAGCAGTAGTTGTTCTGATTATCAAAAATATTATGCTGCTGTATTAGGGAAATTCTGTATTTTGCATGGCCCTGCATCTGGGTTTTAGCAGAGCAGTGTTCAACCCCCCCTTCAACCAAGTGTCTAAGAAACTCAGATCTTTCTAGATATAAAGGAACATACTTCATAGGGAAAAAAATAATTTGTTTTCACATTTTATGTGCTTTTGATTACCAGTTCAAAACCCATGAATTCAAACTGGAGGAAGTTCAGAGAACTTGGTGGTAAGGGAATGAGGAGCTTCCATAACAGGAATCTAAAAGAGCTTTTCCTCCCCTTTTATTTTTAATTCTTTTGCCTTGCAGCCCAAAAGCCAAAAGGGCTATGATTGCTCCTTGCAAACATTTCACTGGAGTAAATGCCAGGGTTGAAGTGCTATTTTAATCCAACAGTTTGTAAGCCTTTGTATTTGGAAAAGCCTGTAGGACTGCGCTGCCTGAGAGCAGATGAAGCTCTTCGGGGAACAATCCATGCACTCATCTCGGAGGCACAGTACTGCTCATAGAAAGACCAAATTTCCATTCCAGAAACAAAACTGGATGACAGTTAACCTTACTGAAGAGCCATGCTCATGGTATGACTTTCATGGGAGGGAATGGATTACCCTGGAATGGATTACCAATGGATTCAGCTGCTGAAACTGGGATCAGGATCACTCCCATGAGAACCAGGAATATTTTGCTGTTTCAACCCAGCAAGACGTGGCTGTTTCCACATGAGCTGAGATGCAGGCAAAATTAGGCGAGTTTTTTTCAGGATAGGTATTATTTAACAAGACAGGTTACACAGTCCAAATTTCTTGGAGGTAAGAGTCAGGTTTTTTATAGTTTTATGTTCCTTACACAAGGAATCAGGGATGTAACTAAAACTCAGCTTCATGTATAGCATCATGTCAGACACACAAAGACTGTCGGAGGAAACCAGTTCCTAGATGACTGAACCTTAGTGAAACTCTTCACGCTGAAGTGGGGAAGTACATCCCTTAGATAAGCAGCAGTAGCGTTAATGTGGAAAAGGTGCCTCAGATCTTTTGTGCCAAGGTTTAACCTACAATGAACATTGTAGAGAGAAATGGGGACATTTTCGGTTCATGGAGCATGTGGGAAGAAATAAGGATCATGCCTTGGTGATGACTGATAAATGTGGAGTATCCCTGCTCACTGGCTTGATCCCATGGCAGCTTAACTCAGTGCCGGAGCTTCATACCTCAGGGATGGGGATGGTCAAGCACTATCTATGGAACAAACAGAAATAGGGAACAGGGAGAACTCATCTACACAGATAACCTTATCCCAAGGCGTGTGTTTCCAGCTGATGGCAAGAGTGGTCACTGCTGCAGCTTTGTCTCCATAAGCCCAGCCCAGGAGCACTGTGGAAGGGGAAGGATATAAATTGAGCCAGGGCTTTTGGAAACCTCCACTGGGGTTTCCTTCGTGCTGCTAGGGACAGCCTGCTCTACAGGGCAGCTGGGTTTTGAGCAGCCAGGCTCTGGGCAGAGCTTGGCAGGGGTAGCAGCTCCTTATGGAGAAGGCATCCCAAGACTGGCTCTACAGGCATAAAGCTCAGCTGCCTTCTGGGGTTCCCATTCAGATCTGATAGGAAATGTCTTACCACAACAGACACTGAGTATCAAAAATTTATTTATTTTTACATAATTTCCCATGAGGGAAATAACTGTGAATTGAAAAACTTCTCAAAGTTTGTTTCAGACAGCTGTATTTATTTTTATGATTTTTACATCACTTCCTATCACTGTGTATCACTGTTATGAACAACATTTGCAGTTGTGTCAAGCTGTGGCATTACCAGCATGTCTAGGAGATAGTGTTTTCTAGTAACGGAAATTGTATGTGCCAGCCAGTCACTGTCAGACTAGTTTTTAAAACAAAAGCAAATTAATGTTTCAGCTGCTTTATTTGACGTGCTGGTATTGGTCAAAATATTGTGAACTGCTATTACAAAAAACAGGATACAAAGTGATATAAAATTCTAAAGCAAATTTAAAAAAAAACACCCAAAACTACAAAGCTTTCCAAAATGAAGAAGAGACAATTTCTGCTGCTAATACATTTGAAAAATGTGTACTTTCATTCTGACACGGACTGCAAACAAACATAAAAAGATGTAGATTCTTCTTGGGAAATAATTTGTTGCAAGGCATTTCTGAGACGTGGTGAGTCCCCACCCCTTGCCCAGAGCCAAGACAGGTGGGTGAGACATCTCTGGGAGGAGGAAGCAAGGGACAAACCAGAACTGGTATTACTGCAGGAGATGGGGAAAGGGAGAGACGAGACAGCCTTCATCCCTTCCCTGACTAACCTAAAAGGGAGTATTTTCTGGTTTAGGGTTATATAGCACTTCTTCCAGGCCTGTGTCCCAAGAGCGCTGTTGGACCACGAGCATTGTACCTGCTGGCCAAATCCAAGGCATCCTTTTGGAGCTCTCTTTTCTTGTTTTTTCTCTCCTTATGGTGATAATATCAAATACTGCTTTTAGAAAAGGGCAGGATCTACTATTGAACTTTATCTTCATATTAAAAATTTACTGGACCTGAGGCAGAAATAATTCCAGTTCAGCCTCAAGATTTTTTATTTCAGACCTTACATTTGATGTATGAAAATGGAAAAGTGTCAGTACATCTCCTAAGTGGGCCCTCTGTTAGTGATGCCAGACAAAAATTTATTTGGTATTAATATCTGGTCTGGGAACATATGAAATGTTTTACCTGTGCTGGCAAATTCCAGTCGCCATGTAGTGTTTGTTTAGTGCCAGCAGGAGGCTGGGCTCAGTACGAGGCACAAAAGGCACAATCCATGACCTCAAAAGTGTATTTCCTGCATTTCATTTCTTCAGGAAGAAGGAGGATTCTTGTTCTTTCGAGGCAAAAAGACATGATAAAGAAGATCTTTATTTAATAATGGAGGAACTGGCAGGAGGGAATAGGACTAACCCCATTTATGGTGGTGTATCTGAATGGTCTTGCTGCAGGCTTTTTTTTTTTTTTTTTTTAAATTAAATCCCTCACACTCGGTACAAGCTAGTCCATTTCAGAGATGAAAATGCATGTGATTGCCAGCATAAATCCTCTCCAGCCACAGCAGCCAGAGAGGCTCCATAAAGGAAGGGACATCTACACAGCAAAAATGTGCAGTTTTGTAAAATGGAACCCTGGAGGGCCCCTCCTTTGAGTCAAGAACAGAAAAATCACATTTGTTTGCCAGGCAGCCGGGCATGTTCCTGCTCCAAGCAGGGCTTGGCTGTGACCTTCCCCTTCCCCGTTCCCATCCCACCGGGTTCTCGCCGTGCT